CCCGCACCCATCTGACTGTCATCTGTGCACATAACTCTTGGAGATGGTACCAAGATCTTTTGCCAATTTAGCCTTAACTCCTATGTGATACACCTTTCCCAGGATAACACTGTTTACCTGGGAACATTTTCCTTAACTATTTTGGCAGTATGGACCTGCTTGAATCAGTGGTTTAAACCAATTATGAACATGTGTTTTGTAGGTTAGGACAATTTGGTTGATGGAGAAGCTTTTGCAAGGTGTGTGGGCATATGTCAGGCCCGTGGATGATTATCCAAGCTTCGTAGGCAACGGATGAGAAGCAGGCAGGACGAGTGTTTCATGGGAGCTATACGGCCCGGTATTTTGTAGTGATTTTTATGGGTTCAAATACCTTTTCGTGCATTTTCTTTTATGAATACAGTACAGATCTTTGAATGAAGATGTTTTTTAAAATCTCAGTGAACATTAGTGCTATTCTGTAGGCTTCACCTGCCTGTGTCATGTGTGTGTGTATACCCTCTCCTGAGAAAAATGAGATTTTTTGTCTCATTCTTTGTTTGGTCAAAGCTGGCAGGATAGGCTACCGACAGAGGAGGCATGCAGCAAGAAGATGTCAGGGGTCTTAATTAGGTAAGGTGTATTTTAGTTAGGGTAAGTAACACCATTTGTTGTAACAACTAAGCCCAGTGCAAACATTTTGTCTCAGTACGAAATGTTTATTGCTCACTTCTCAACCTCCAATGTAGAGGTTGCAGTGAGTTGGGTGGGGCGGTCTGGGGACTCTGGCTTGTTCTACCTAATGTTTCTGCCATCCCTTGGGCTTCAGAATTCTCCACTGGACCCTCCATATTTGGCTGGGAGTTGGACAAACAGGGCAAATGGGAAGGGTCTTTTGGGAGGTTTCAGAAGCCAAGCCTGGAAGCGGTGTGTGTGCATGTCTGTCCACGTTCCACTGGCCAGAACTCAAGTCCCATGGTCTCTCCTTACCGCAGGGGGGCTGGGGAATAGTCAAGCAGTGGCCAAGGAAGAAGAAACAACACATGGATACGGCTGAGCACTTGAATTCTGCAACACTAGCTGAGGGACTCAGGGGGAAGAGTGGAGCGTTGAAGGCTGTGTGGTCCCAGGGTGGAGGTGAAAGACTCTAACACGTCTGTGTTGGTGTCTTATATACCAGGCACTGGGCTGAACGCTGCCTTGCTTAGGGCAAAATGCGTCTTGATCTTCCACCGCTGTGTGATGCCAGCACATCCAGGGAGTTAACTCTGTTTGAACTGTCTAGATGTGTGTTTTATACCGACGCATGAAGAGTTCAACTTGGTTTGCCTATTGCGCCTTATCCCCTCTGGGATTTGGTCTAGACAAGGGCAAGTTGTTAAATTTATCCATAAGTGCCTGCAGAGAAAGTCTTGCGTGCCTGGAAAGAAACAATTATAGTTGCCTTTAATTAGTATTTAATTTACTAAAATTATACACGTACAGACCAAGTTTTTGCGCATCTCTAAATTGAACTTGAGTATCATTTTATTCTATATATAGAACTAATAAATTAATACTTGTAGGAAAATGTAATAATCTCTTGGCTGGGTACGGTGGCTCACGCCTGTAATCCTAGCACTCTGGGAGGCTGAGGTGGGAGGATGCTCGAGCCCAGGAGTTTAAGGTTGCTGTGAGCTAGCCTGACGCCACGGCACTCTAGCCTGGGCAAAGAGTGAGACTCTGTCTCAAAAAAAAACTCTTTTGCTTTGATCAGTGTTCATTCAATGCATGAGTTAACAGATTAAATCATTCTCAGTGTGGGGCCACGTGCAAGACCCCAAGCCGTGCAAGACCCCAAGTCGTGCGTGTTTAAGACAGTGCTCTAAAAGCAAAAGAGGGCCTCTGTGGTCTCTTCACAGGTATTTAACACTGTTTATGCTCCTAATTAATCACATTTCCAAGTAAACACAAATGCTCAACAGGACCGGCTTACAGATATCATCAGGAAAATCTTTCCAAGAGCACCTAAGCTTGGCACAAGTCTGATAAATCAACTGCAAACAAAAGGAATTTTTACATTCTCTATCCACTTTATAAGAGAGCATTACAAGGGTGGAATTTCATTAGGCCCAGCTTGGGCCAGAACCCACATATGTATTAAAAGAAGAGAGTTAGGGAACAGAAATATCTTAGTCAAGATAAGTTTTGACTAAGACAAAACAAAACCAAACTACCTTTTAACTTGATGGTCTCACTAACACAAGAGGATAGAATTAGCCCCTTGCTGCTTACTATATTTCTTGATTTACATCATCACATGAAATTTAAAGCAAATCCCAGGCCAGAAGACATTGAAAGATCTGTCTAGGAGGTGAACAGAGAGATGTTCACAGTCACCACTATTCTGAAGAGATCCACAGAGTCCCTTTTTTGAGTGTCTGGTACATGACTCCGTAAGACCAGATACTGAGAAACAGTCTTTTACTATGAAAATAACTTCCTCTTCCACTAGCTTTTTGTTTGTTTGTTTGTTTGTTTATCTGTTTGTTTTTTAGACAGGCTCTTACTCTGTCACCCAGGCTGGAGTTCAGTGTTGTGATCATAGCTCATTACAGCCTCGAGCTCCTAGGCTCTAGTGATCCTCCTTCCTCAGCCTCCCAGGGAGCTGGGACTACAGGTGCATGCCACTGTGCTTGGCTAATATATTTTTTATGTTTTGTAGAGACAGAATCTCGCTATGTTGCCCAGGCCGGTCTTGAACTCCTGGCCTTCAGTGATCCTCCCCACCTTGGCCTCCCAAAGCGCTGGGATTACAGGTGTGAGCTACCGCACCCAGCTCCCATCAACTAGCTTAAGTCGTTCCCTCCCACTCTTATATCTCAAGAGGCGAATATTATGTTGCAGAAAAGAGCATGATGTTAATATGTGGAAAATGAATAGCCATGTGACAAACGTGCCCTGAGTTTAGGGCAGGGAGAACTCACTGGCTTCTCTTCAAGGTGTCTGGTGCAGTGCTAAGTGCCTCATGGGCTCTGTCTCCATGGTTCCCCCAGCGGCTCAGGACCCATAAGGCGGTCACTGTTATCTCCATACACCTGAAGGGTAGAATAAGACCGGTTCCTCAAAGATGGGATCAAGAGCTTATCCCCTCCTGTCATGTATCACATTGCCTGGCACACCATGGGCACTTGATAGATGGTTGCCTATCATTGAATGACCCAGAAGACTGGGTCAGGCTTAAGTAAACAGCACACTTATAACAAATGCAGGCTGCTGCTATCTTGGCTTACCTGATTTTATAACCCACACAGGGCTATGCACTCCTTATCAGGGCTGAAAAGAAAGAGGTAAACAGGATGAGAAATGTTAGGATAAAATCTGTTCATTTGGAAACCATCAGAACTGGTATTAGTCATGACACAGTTATCTCTGGCAAGCATCTGGGTAAACTGAGGTTTTCTAGTTTCCATGGTTGCTGGTTGGTGCTATGCATCACCCGCATTCTGATGGGTACTTTGCTCCCCAGGCAATACAAAGAACTAGTTGCAGAATTCAGGGTGCCCATCCTATCTCCAGAGTAGAAGCCAGGCCCTTCTGGTAGAGTGACATTGTGTTTAGACAGCATCAATACCAGACACCGTTACGGAGCCCTGGCACTACTGTGGATGCCGGAGACCTGAGGTTGAGGTGGTTTCCACCTGAAGTCTTTTATAAGCTTGCACGCTTAGACAAAGGACTGTAGTGCAGCACAATGCATGTGACACTTGTAAACCACTGAGCCAGGGAGCCCAGGGGTGGGACCCTGGTTCTTCCACATGATTTCTGAGATCGATCATAATCAGTGGAACATTCTCACCAGCAGCGGACGTGTTAGAACTGAAATAGAATTTCCTAGTGTGAGTTTCCAGGAGTTCCCAGATGAGGTGTGAGCTGCAGAATGGTAAGGCCAGGGCTTTCCAAATAGAGATGCTTGGATATGTACTACAGGCATTTCTGGGATGTTGTGGTTCTGGGCATGAAGGATGTTCATCTTGTGTTTCTCTTGCGACACTGTATGTAAGGAGCGGGGAGAATAAAGGAATGGACAGAGTCTTTGCCACGTTGGGGGAAGTGGAATCACTCCAGGATGGGCGTGGGCCAGGGGAACCGCAGCCTCCAAACCTCTGCTGTCTCACACAGAGGCCACTGGCACCCGGTGGCCACTGAGCACTTGGATTGTAGCCAATCCAAACTGAGATCCACGGAAGTGAAGCGTAAGATACACATGAGATTTTGAACACTTAGTAAGAATATGGGACTATAAAATATCCCATCAATTGTATATTGACTACATGTTAAAATGATAATACTTCGGATATAGCAGCATAAGTAAAACATATTACTAAAATTAATTTAAAATAAACTAATTGATCACTTGTTTCTTTTCACTTTTTAGAGTGTGGCTGTTAGAAAAGTTAAAATTGCCGAAGTGGCTCGCGTTATCTTTCTCTCACACAGCCCTGTTCCTGCAGCAGTATTTGAACAGTTTCTGTCTCCCTGCGCTGTTTTGCAGAAAGCCCTGTGGGGGAGTGCCTTGCTTGGTTTTCCTGCGTATAAATCTGAATTTCTTTGCTTCGAAACAGGATTCACCATGGGGTTCCTTTTGCCCACTAGTAGTACACTTTGGGTGTGAGAGACAAAGTCATAGCATTGCACCTGTGATCCCAGCTACTCAGAAGGCTGAGGCAGGAGGATCGCTTGAGGAGTGTGAGGAGTTCGAGGTTGCTGTGAGCTAGGCAAAGGCCATGGCACTCTAGCCTGGGCAACAGAGCAAGCCTCTGTCTTAAAAAAATTGTCATCTATTCTTTGTTTCCGGCTAGAGGCTCATTAATTCAATTATTTACCTACATTAAGAAATAAGAATAAAAGTATAAGAATAACATTAAACATATAGGTATAATAATTTGTAAGCACATATAGACCTCTTTTTAAATAAATATACATTTTATATGTTTACTGGAAAAATAATTTTGCTATATTTTGGCATTTTTTTCTTCCAGATATTTTCAGAAAAGTCATACAGAAGATGTTTGAGCCCTCAGTTGATTTCGACAAGGTAATTTTTTTATCGATGTATTTGTTATCAAAAATACAAAGTATGAGAAAAATTTCAGATGACTCAAAAGTAAATCTTTAAACAACTGGTTATTTAATGTGCAATTTTAGTAACCTTTTTTGGCAAGAACTTTTATGGAATATTCAACCACCTTATGGATCCCTTTTGAAATACAGCAGAAATTTCAAAAGTAGCATTTGAAGAAAACCTTTCAAGCTGTATGTTATTTAAAAACTAAAGTTTCTTAAAAAGGAAATGTTATCCTACCTTTTTTAGCTAATGGGAGAGAACCCCCTAACTAAGTAGCATTATTTGAAATTCCCTAGAAACAGTACTCTTTTTTTTTTGAGACAGAGTCTCACTGTGTTGCCCGGGCTAGAGTGCCATGGCGTCATCCTAGCTCACAGCAACCTCAAACTCCTGGGCTCAAGCAATCCTTCTGCCTCAGCCTCCCGAGTAGCTGGGACTACAGGCATGTGCCACCATGCCCGGCTAATTTTTTTTCTATATATTTTTAGTTGTCCAATTAATTTCTTTCTATTTTTAGTAGAGACGAGGTCTCGCTCTTGCACAGGCTGATCTTGAACTCCTGACCTCAAACAATCCACCCGCCTTGGCCTCCCAGAGTGCTAGGATTACAGGCGTGAGCCACTGTGCCCGGCCTGTACTCTGTTTTAATAGACAGTCTGTTAAAAAGCAGCTTTCCATTTGAACAAGGCTTATCGAGCACCTGCTATGTGTGCATCCTTGGCTAGAACTGGAAGGGAGGTGAGGATGAGGGAGATAGCCCTTGGTCTCCAGGGCTAGGAGCCAGATGGCAAGGACAGTACCTAATGATTCAAAGAGAGAGAAGAAGGAAATAAGTAGATCTGTAAGTAATGTGCAGAGGAATGTAAATAAAAATGGTGAATTCTGACCAGAAGCTCTCCCTAGAGGAGGCAACTCTGGGGCTCACTGTGACAAGGATACTAAGAGGGCTGGAGTGGGTGAGCAGGCGCTGTGCTCATCTTCCAGGCTGCAGAAACCATCAAGCCCCTGGTCAGAGGGAAAGGAAAGAAGGTGAGTTGAGGCCCGATCATGAGAGGGCCTTGAATGCCTCGCTAAGGTGAGTGGACGGTATTTTCATAAAGTATCAAGGCACCTTGCATTTCTCTGCTAAAAACCCAAGGTGCTGCCACTTCACTCACCCGTTCGCTTCCGTGACCGACTACCTGAACAGAAGAAGGTTCTTTTGATTTTGGTTTGTTATGAGTGTAGGTTGCCCATGAAACAAACAGACAAAAGTTTATTACACTGAATGTCAGATAATAAAAATGAATTAAATCTGCCAGGTTCTCAGTCCTGCAGGGTAAGGCACTATGCTCATTCCTTCCCCGGTGTGAAGGTGGTTCCCAAGATAACCCTAAGAAGATGTCCAGGTGGGCATTTTTACTGGCCAGCACAACAAATCTGAATGTTCCCAGTGGAGGGGAGGGTGGTTAACTCTTGCCCAGTGAATGATTCCCTGAGAGACTGTAGTTACAAATGGCGATCAAATTCTTCATTTGCAATGAAATGATACTCAAGAGGAAAGGCTTATCTAAAGGCCGTTTACATCCAGCAACAGGGAAGACTATATGGAAGATGATGAATGAGCTGTTCCCTGGTGCTCACAGCTGTTCCTAGGACTGTGGAAAGCATTTTCATTCTTCAGTGCCACTGGTTTCATTTATATCTCCCAAACGTGATTGCGTGTCGGGCCTGCATCCCTGGCAGAATAAAAGGACAGTTGCTCTTGTGCTTATTAATACATTCGAAATTAGCGTGCCTTTAGCAGCCGGGCCTGAATGCCAACTAGTTCTGCCAAGGAATGGGTGGAGCAGGAGGCAGTGCTTCAGTCAAATCCAGGCCTTGGAGGACACGGTCCTGAGACACCGAGATGACTCTGAGCTGGAGCTGTCCCCGGCAGGGTCTTAGTTGGACAACTCCTTTGTGCTTGCCTTAGGAGCTTCTATAACCTTAGTTTATAAATCTGGCTGCTGATTTCCTCTCCTTGCTTTTGCAAATGGATAAAAAGCATGGGGGTGAGGGTGACGTGGAAAGAGGATGCGAAACAGAGTCCACATGAGTGAACTGAATGAATCCAACCCTAGATGTGCCATCGGACCGCGCTTTCTACAGTTATCTGAGGAAGAGGGGTTTGGTTAAGCAAAGACACCAGAGAAGCCAGGGCGCCTTTGCAGGGGAGCTGTCCGACCAGATTTAGTCTGGTAAATGCTGGTGTGTTAGGTTCGATTCTCCCTGAAGCAGACTCTGAGCCAGGGTGAGTCATTTATTTGGGAAGTGCAGGGAACACTGGCCAGGAAGTGGGGAAGGCAGCCTATTATAAAGGAGGTGCCCTCACGCCACCTGCCCAGGGTGCAACGGAGCTTCCTCCTGTAGAGTTGCTGTGGGAACCAGGCGAAGCACCAGCATCCCCTGGGAAGGGGGAGAGAGCTGAGCAGTCTATACAGCAAGACCGCAGAGGCCCTGGCAGAGGGCTGTTTGGGGTGCGGGGACAGCGCAAAGTCCCCAGTACTTCTGACCTTCCCTGGATCTGGAATAAGCCTCCAAGCACAGAGCTGAAGATGCCAGTAGTTAGAAGTACGAGGATCACACTGAGATGGCTGAGGCCCCGGGGACACAGGCGGGCACCGACAACATCTTCATACTCCCCAGCGCCCCCTGCCCGCAGTCCCACGGGAACGGTCGAGCTCCCGTTGCACAAGCTCTGGGTTTCATCTTCTGTGTGAGCCCTCTGGTGGCCAGGGAGCCGGGGCAGCTGAGCCCGTGCCCTTATCACTGGGGCCCCTTTCAGTGAGCTTCTTCCCGAGGGGGTGCCGAAGCATCCAGGGGTGCAGACCCTTTGTTCTTTTTCTTTTATTAATTTATTAATTTTTTAAAAATTGGAACGCTTCACAAAGTTGCATGTCATCTTTGTGCAGGGGCCATGCTAATCTTCTCTGTATCATTCCAATTTTAGTATATGTGCTGTTGAAGTGAGTACAACTGCACTTTAACTGCAAATTAAAAGTAGTACTTTAAGGTCTTTGGGCCCCTTCTTCTCTCTGACGTTGTTTTGACACGGGATGTCCATAATTTATATGCTGAAGTCCTACCCCCAGTACCTCTGAACGTGACTGTATTTGGACATAGAATCTTTAAAGAGGTGATTTAAGTTAAAATGAGTTCATTAGTGTGGGCTCTAATCCAATATGACTGTGTCCTTATAAGAAGGGGAAATGAGGACACAGTCACCCAGGGAAGATCATAGGAAGACACAGCAGGAAGGTGGCCATTGACAAGCCAAGGAGAGAAGCCACATAAGCAGCCCCAACGACATCTTGACCTGGAATTTTCCAGCCTCCAGAACTGTGAGAAAATAAATGTCTGTTGAAGCCACCCAGTCTGTGGTACTTTGTTGTGGCAGCCTGAGCAGACTAAGCGCTAACAGGAACGCAGGATGGACCCGGGCAGTTCCGACAAAGGGCTGTGAACATTAAGGAGGGGGAGACTGTCCTTGCACTCAGGAAATCAGCAAAGACTCCACAGTGTAGCTGACACTTAAACGAGAAATAAAACCTTAGTCTTATCTGAAAACACTCAAAGCGCAAAGCTTCTCCATTGCTTCCTAAAGCACGTTCTTAAACTGTGTCCACTTCCTCTCTGTAATAATAAGAGTCATCATTTCTTGTCTGCCACGTGCCAAACACTGGATTAGGAGCTTTATATTGTTTCTAATCCTCACAACAAGAAAGTTTTTCTGCCATTGTAGATTCAAGAAAATCCTGCACTCAGAGAGGCTAAGGAGCTTGCCTGACGTCACGTGGTGGCTAAATGGCAGAGCTGGGATTTGTACCCAGATCGGTCTAACTCTGAACTGATAAACACACCACCAGTAAAAATTAGGCTCATTCTAGGTCACTGTGCTATAGTCCCAACATGACCAACATGAAGAAACAGCTCTCATCTGAGTATGTTCAGCTGTGTGCAAAGAGAGTAACAGCCTTAGAGCTGTACATTTTACATATTAAGCCACAAGATATTATAGTGGGTAATTATCCCTGGGCAGAAATGGTCCCATCCCAAGTTACCTCTAGTCCTATGTGACTGAATCACCACTTTGCTATAAAAGGAGAACTGGGGCTGAACGCAGTGGCTCTGCAGATTGGGCCATTCGAGCATGTATATCCCAGGCCTTTGACGTCAGAGAACCTGTGACAGATTCCACAGTCAGAGCGTGGAGTACTGGGTGAGGACAAGTCCAAGGGAATGAGGCTTGGAATTAGGGACCCATGAGGAAAATGAGGACCAGAAGATGAAGCTATAGATTCTGAGAAACAACTCTAACCCTGGTTTCCTACAACAGGAATGATAGCTGTAGCATTTGTATAGCACATGCTGTGTTCCAGGCATCCTTCTACGTGATTTACAAATGTTAACTCATTTAGTCTTCACAGCAATAGCCTGTCTTCACTGGCAGTGTTAAGGTGGAGGTGCCATGGGCTGCTCATTTACTCATCTAGTGTATTGCGTGCCCACCGCATGCCAAGATATAAACACAAGCCATGCCATGCACAGCCTGCATTGCAAAGTGCCTGACTACATTCTCTTGGGGACCATGGCATGTGGGCGAGCCGCTTCCTAGATTCCCCACATCCTGGCTGACTGAACATGAGGGGAAACACCACAGCGTCACCTCCCTACATGCTCACCCGGGGATTCTGCAGAGAAAGCCTTGCGGCCTGGCCCCGGTTCCACTAGCGGCTGCTCAATTAAATAAAAGACACAATTCCTACTGTCACAGGATGCCTGGTTTGGGGCAATTTGGGGTGATAACTTACAATCCCTTCCCACCGATAACCCATAAGTGCCACCCACACCTGTAGACACCTTTTCAAGAAGGCAGTTCTCCCAGCACCCCCCACGTCTTTGTCTGTGTCTTTGTCATTTCTGCACATCACTGTCAGTCGGAACCTGAG